TCCCTGTGGTGGTGGGGCTCTGCTTACCGATGAAGTTCCCAAGGTAGAGGCCAGGGAGGATCTGTGGGACACAAGGAAAAGTGGCAGTGTGAGCAGTGACCTTGTGCTGTGGTACCCACCGCGCCGGGACCCCTTGTCCAGAAAGGCCAAATTTCTGTTGTTAACGTGACTCACCAGCCCTGGAGCAGGATTGGTGCTGGTGCAGCTGACCGTGGGTGCTCCTGGGGCTACCACTGCTCTGGCATCCAGCACAAGGGGCTGGATGCAGCCCTGGCACCCCAACCTGTGCCACTGCCTGGCACTGCACCCTCACGGGCGCTGGGAGTCAGCATCGGCCACGGCTTTTTTTTATTGCTCCTCTTGCTTATTGTCAATAGCTTCTTTGTTGGGGCTTTTTTATCTGAGCTCAGCAAGCTGCACACGCCTCCATACAGCCTTGGACTATACCCGTGGCCCGTGGAAGTCCTGCTGCCCGAGGGACAGGGAAGCAACAGGCACGGAGAAGGGTGCGGGTACGCAGTGGTCCCCCCCTCAGCTCTGCTTCCTCTCACTCGACACCTAAGGGAGCCCTTTTCTAACAGATCCCTCTGGACACCATGTCTTCATCTTATTTTCCTTGTGAAATTCCACTTTGCACGATGAAAAGGTAATTACTTGACAATGCCTCTGTTAATTGCACTGCAGGTATGGAAGCAGGATGGCTTACATCCCCTCTTACTCAGAGCTATTTTTTATTTTCCCTGTCTCCCAGCAAGGCTACCCAGGCTGTTCATCCCTTTGTCCACCAGTTCCCCACCAGCTTCTCTGTGCTGTGATGGTTGGTGCCTGGGACCTGGGCAGGCAGAGGTGATTTCTACCAGCACAGCTGGGCTCACACTGCTCTCCCTGCCTACGTTTGGAAACGTTTCTCTTGGTCAAACAGCTTAAAGAGGTTTTGGTGGGTTTTTTTTTTTTTTATGATTCCTAAGATTTTAGATCAACTTTCTATTGACAAGGGTGCCTTTAAGTTGCAGCTGCGGCACCGAAAGGAGGTGGTAGAAGAGCACCAGTTAGCAAGGGCAGCTCCCAAGGGCAGAACGCTGAGCCACGAATAGCAGCACCTTCCATCCCCAGCACCCTTCTGACCCACTCCTGGCTGGAGAAAGCAGGGCACAGGAAAGCCCCGTCTGCAGCACTGGGCTCTTCCCCAGATAACGAGCAGTTATGGGGCTGGGGAGGGGTGTTTAAAGCTTAGGAGCTGGAGATACCTGCAGGAAGAAGGTGTCTCTATTTACCTGTGACAGGGAGAAGCTCCAAAGACCATAAAATAGCACCAGCCCCTTCCACGCAGGGATGCTGGGCTGGGGGTCGCACAGGACCCCCGGTGTGTGCTCGGGAGCTGGTGCCTTGGTTTTAAAGGCGCTGGTTTTTTTTAAAGGCACTTGGTTTTTAAAGGTTCCCCCCCTCCCTGGGAGGGGATCTCTCTCACCCTTGCCCTCCCCCCCCCCCAAGCCACAGTTGCGGGCTGGCGCGGTGTCCCTGCCCGCGCTTCTCCTCCCAATTTCGCTCCGTAAACAAGCTCCCTGACCTCCCAACCCGGTGCCGGATCCGGTGCCGACGGCTGAAACGCCTCTTGGCACGGCAGAACGAACCGGGCAAGCGTCCCCTATACCCCCCCCCAGCCCCGGGACGAGCCTCCCCGGTATCACCGTCCCCGCAGAGCAGCCCCCCCCTCCCCGCCAGCGCTCCCCCGTTACCTGGCTCATGCCGTTCCCCATGGCCGGCAGCGGGCGAGGCTTGGGGGGACAGCGTGTCCTTGTCCCCAATGCCGCCGTCCTCCCCGGCCCCAGGCGCAGCCGCCGTCCCCGCTCCGGGCGCTCCCCGCTCGGGTTTCCGTCATGAAGAGCTCGGTTCTCCCGGGATGGCTGCCCGTGCCGGGGCGGGATCGTCGTCGGCGGGGCGGCTGTACCGGGACCGGGAGGACCTCGGCCGCCGTTCTCGGTGTCCTGGGCTCCCGCCGAGGCCCTTCCCCGGCGGTTGGTGTCGCCGGGAGCGGACAAAGGAGGAGAAGCTCCCCCTCTGCGCCGCGGCGAGGGAGCGCGGGGGCCGCGCTGGCTGCTGCCTGTCGCCGCCGCCGCACAAGGCTGCAGTGTTGGGAGAAGAACAAAACCTTTGTCCCGCTCCATTAAGGAAGGTCTGTGGCGCCATGCCCACCGCTGCCTGTCCCATGACCTCCCCTGCCTGTGCCATGCCCATCTCTGCCCGCGCCATGCCCATTCCTGCCTGTCCCATGCCCACCCTTACCTGTCCCATGCCCACCCCTGCCCGTGCCGTGCCCACCCTTACCTGTCCCATGACATCCCTTGCCTGTCCCCTGCCCACCCCTGCCTGTGTCATGCTCAGCCCTGCCCA